GTTTTTTCATTTATGATACTTCTCATCATTATAATACTTCTCTTATAATTTTAATACTTCTCTTACCATTATAATACCTCACTTATCATTATAATACTTCTCTTATCATTTTAATACTTCTCTTACCATTATAATACTTCTCTTATCATCATAATATTTCTCATATCATTAAAATACTTCACTTATCATTATAATACTTCTCCTAGCATTATAATACTTCTCCTATCATTATAATACTTCTCTTATCATCATAATACTTCTCATATCATTATAATACTTCACTTATCATTATAATACTTCACTTATCATTATAACACTTCTCTTATCATTATGAAGATAATACTTCTCTTATCATCATAATACTTCTCCTATCATTATAATACTTCTCTTATCATTATAATACTTCTCCTATCATTATAATACTTCTCCTATCATTATAATACTTCTCCTATCATTATAATACTTCTATCATTATAATACTTCTCTTGTCATTATAATACTTCTCTTATCATTTGTCTTTCGTTTACTTCTCGTTGCCTTTCCTATTACTTATCTCTATTAGACTAAATAGTGATAATTGCCCAATAGCGATGACAATTATGTAATTCTTACGGGGAAATTTTTTTGACTGGCTCTGTAGATGATCAAGTAAGTTACAATAACTTAACTTAACCTAACCTAACCTAACCTAACCACGCTTAATCAGCGATTATCCCTATTTAACGTGATATAATTCACACTATACAGGGATAAATAATATTGTGGTTTAATTTCTACAGCTTGATGATAATTAATACGTCCAGAGTAAAATTTACCCTATTTCATATAAGACGTCATAAAATAGCCAAATTATACCCACAGTAGGTTAGGTTAGGTTAGGTTAGGTTAGGTTAGGGTAACTTAAAGAAAAAGATGCAGTGAATTCAAACATTAGCAGAAGTGTAAAGTGGCGGTGTTGTATTGCCAGTGGCGGTGTTGTAGTGCCAGTGGTTGTGTTGTAGTGCCAGTGATGGTGTTGTAGTGCCAGTGGTGGTGCTGTAGTGCCAGTGGCGGTGTTGTAGTGCCAGTGGCGGTGTTGTAGTGCCAGTGGTGGTGCTGTAGTGCCAGTGGTGGTGCTGTAGTGCCAGTGGCGGTGTTGTAGTGCCAGTGGTTGTGGTGCCAGTGGCGGTGTTGTAGTGCCATAGTGGTGGTGTGTTGCAGTGCCAGTGGTGGTGCTGTAGTGCCAGTGATGGTGTTGTAGTGTCAGTGGTGGTGTTGCAGTGCCAGTGGTGGTGTTGTAGTGTCAGTGGTGGTGTGCGCCAGTGGTGGTGTTGCAGTGCCAGTGGTGGTGTTGTATTCCCATTGATGGTGTTGTAGTGTCAGTGATGGTGTTGTAGTGCCAGTGGCGGTGTTGTATTGCCAGTGGTAGTGCTGTAGTGTCAGTGGTGTGTGGTGGTGTTGCAGTGCCAGTGGTGGTGTTGCAGTGCCAGTGGTGGTGTTGTATTGCCAGTGGTGGTGCTGTAGTGCCAGTGATGGTGTTGTAGTGCCAGTGGTGGTGTTGCAGTGCCAGTGGTGGTGTTGTAGTGTCAGTGGTGGTGTTGCAGTGCCAGTGATGGTGTTGTAGTGCCAGTGGTGGTGTTGTATTGCCAGTGGTGGTGCTGTAGTGCCAGTGATGGTGTGTGGTGTTGCAGTGCTAGTGGTGGTGCTGTAGTGCCAGTGATGGTGCCAGTGGTGGTGTTGCAGTGCCAGTGGTGGTGTTGCAGTGCCAGTGGTGGTGTTGTAGTGGTGGTGTGTGGTGGTGGTGTGTAGTCCCCGTGGCGGTGTTGTAGTGCCAGTGGTGGTGTTGCAGTGCCAGTGGTGTGTTGCAGTGCCATTGGTGGTGTTGCAATGCCAGTGGTGGTGTTGTATTGCCAGTGGTGGTGTGTATTGCCAGTGGTGGTGTTATAGTGGCAGTGATGGTGTTGTAGTGCCAGTGGTGGTGTTGGTGGCGTTGGTGCCAGTGGTGGTGTTGCAGTGCCAGTGGTGGTGTTGTAGTGCCAGTGGTGGTGTTGTAGTGTCAGTGGTGGTGTTGCAGTGCTAGTGGTGGTGTTGTAGTGCCAGTGGCGGTGTTGTAGTGCCAGTGGTGGTGTTGCAGTGCCAATGGTGGTGTTTCAGTGCCAGTGGTGGTGTTGTAATGCCAGTGGTGGTGTTGCAGTGCCAGTGGTGGTGTTGCAGTGCCAGTGGTGGTGTTGCAGTGCCGGTGGTGGTGTTGTAGTGCCAGTGGTGGTGTTGTAGTGCCAGTGGTGGTGTTGTAGTACCAGTGATGGTGTTGTAGTGCCAGTGGTGGTGTTGTAGTGCCAGTGGTGGTGTTGTAGTGCCAGTGATGGTGTTGTAGTGCCAGTGGTGGTGTTGTATTGCCAGTGGTGGTGTTGTAGTGCCAGTGGTGGTGTTGTAGTGCCAGTGGTGGTGTTGGTGGTGGTGTTGTAGTGCCAGTGGTGGTGTTTAGTGCCAGTGGTGGTGTTGTAGTACCAGTGGTGGTGTTGTAGTACCAGTGGTGGTGTTGTAGTGCCAGTGGTGGTGTTGTAGTGCCAGTGATGGTGTTGTAGTGCCAGTGGTGGTGTTGTAGTGCCAGTGATGGTGTTGTAGTGCCAGTGGTGGTGTTGTAGTGCCAGTGATGGTGTTGTAGTGCCAGTGGGGTGATGACCGCGGCCAGTCCTACCACCCCAGTATAACGGTTCAGTGGGGAGGAGAGGGTAAGGCGGGAGAGTAAGTACAGAGGGCCGCCAAGCCAAGCCAAGGCAAGCAGCGGCCAGGTCTTTCTGTGTTAAGATACGGGCAATGTTATAAGGACGTAGCATTACATCCGAAGTGGAAATATTGGTGCCAGTACTATACGCATTTACAGTAAATAACCCAGCTTCCCCCACCCCCCTCCACCCATCCGCCCCTTACTCTAAGCACCCCTTTCCAGTGTCCACCTCATCCCCTCCACAAACCACCCCTTCCATTGCCCCTCCATCCTCTCCCCAAACGACCCCTTCCATTGCCTCTCCATCTTCTCTACAACCACCTCTTTCAGTGTCCACCTCCATCCCCTCCATAACCACCTCTTCCATTGCCCCTCAATCCCCTCTCAACAACCCCGTTCCAGTACTCGTCTTACCTCCCTTCCCTTCTCAACCAAACTACCCCCCCACACATGTTATAAAAATGTATCTCCCAGCGTAACCATGGCCTGGTCAGGTCTATTATGGCAACGATGTGACGCCAACCTATAGAACACCCCGACATCCCAAGAGAAAAAATAAAATATGTAATGAAACAATCTTTATGTAGTTATAATATCTAATGCGATTTGTAAGGGAAGAAATGTCTCTTAATCAAGGTGTGGTGAGAGACTGTCAGAGAGACAGTTTTACTCTACTGTCTCTCATTTCTTTGTTTCCTTTGCTATCACCTAACTACTACTAATTCGTCGTAATTGCTTCACAAATTTGTGAATGCTGATTTATCACTATTCTTCACATGCGGTCTCTGAAATAAATAATCTAATATATTTTCTTCTTCGTTCTTTAATTTTTATTATAATTCATAAAAAAATTCCTTCAATCTTTTTTTTTCCTTTTTTGGATAACTTCTCTTATTCTTTTCTGCCTTTTCATCATCTCGATATTTTTATGTTATTTTTTTTTTGCTTTACATTCTTCTTCCTTGTCTGTGGCTTCTTATCGCCGTCTACCCCTTCCCTCGGCCCGCCCCTACCCGGACCTGGCACTGAGCATCCGGGTGCCAGTGCCATGCTGCTTGTGACGCTTCTCTCGCTATTGTTCTTTTAATCACTGCAGCTGCAGACACACACGCACACATACACACACACACACACACACACACACACACACACACACACACACACACACACCTACACAAATACATACATACAGATATGGACACACACGCACACACACACACACGTTGTTTTCTTATATTCAAGGCTGGCATGTGCAGTGTATGTGAGGGGGTGGCTGGGATAAAGGCTGCATACTTTTAGAGGGAACTGCCGTGACATGTGTGTAGTACAGTAACTACATGTTTAGGAGGAGACAACGGGTGTGGGAGGGGAAGGCATGTAGTGGTAGGGTGTGTGTGTGTGTGTGCTGGATTGATATTGAAACCGTTTATTTAGTCAGAAAAATACAGAGTTGACAATAATAACAACACTGACAGGACTGATTCAAATGGGAGCCTGAGCAGCGAATCAAAGTACCAATAGGTGACAACCAAATACATAGTTTGGCCTGGATAATCAGAACATAGAACCGATGGTTAATGAAGTTGTACTAAGTGTGCCCGTGTACCCCGTCACCCCCTCACACCCCGTCATCCCCCCCCCCCTCACCCATGAGCGCTTCGGAATAATGTTTCGATACTCCTGAGTTCACACATCACGGAGAGAGAGGATTGACAACGCTAACTGTACCAGGTGAAAGTGTGGCCGATTGTACACGTGACCCTTGGCAGCTCACTCACGGGAGCACCCCCAATAGGCACGTCTTCGCCACTTGGACTTGGTGAGGCGATACCAAGTGTGTGTACTGCATGTGTTCCTGCAAATGAGATGAAAGACAGATTTGTATGTGTGTTACTGTAAATGCATTTTTTTGGATGAAGTGCTCTTGCCAATGAGGTGGCAGGCAGATGAACAGGGTGTTAGTGAGGGTAGTGTATACTGCTGCTTAGACTCTAGACAACAGTGAATAGTTAAGGTGCGGTGGTGGGATGTGTGTTGTGATCTTATATAAGCCAGGTACCAAGCCTCCACGGTGTTCCTTACATATAATGAATGGAATGAGGCTTTTCCCCCTTCCCCACCTACCTTATATCACACTATCATCGCTATATACTTATGCAGTTATCTGTCTTGCATTAACTTTGTTACAGCGGTTTTTTCCCTCTGTGATAAGAACAATAAACAAGGGCACATAACATTGCTTGTGTCGAGATCTCAGCCATTCTTAGCTTTACCGTCTAATTTCCTCCAACAGAAGATGCACTAAAGGCAGACCTGCTGGGCAAGCCGAGGAAGGAGAGGACGGCATTTACGAAGCACCAAATCCGCGAGCTGGAGGCAGAGTTCCAACACTCCAACTACCTCACCAGACTACGCCGCTATGAGATTGCCGTCTCGCTTGACCTCACCGAGAGACAAGTGAGTCAGTCAGTCACCTTGATCTACGTGTACAAAAGAGCTGGGTTTTGGTTGTGTAGGGAATAGAGGGTCACTTATCCGTTACTGTAACTGAATAGGTATGTTTTCCTTCAGTAAGTAATGAGAGACAGATACATAATCATTTAGATCTTTTTCTGTAACTAAGAGCAAATTTGTTGCTCCCGTAAAAGTGTTATGTTAACTGTTTTGGGAGAATGAGTTGTGTGAGTTGTTAGCCGATGTAGGTGTAGATGATGATAACCGAAACGTCAGTAAATAACGAAACGCGTGTAATGGTATAATTCAATAACAACTTAGTGTGTTTGCAGTAATTATTTCGTAGAATTTTAATAACTCTTTTGTTAATGACTATTTTCCCAAGTTTATTATCTCATTACCTTTTCAATACTCATGAACAGTTTACAAGATATGATTATTTAAATTAATTTGATCCTCGAAAACTCTTACACTTAAATTATCACATCAGAGATTTCTATATTTTTCTACAAATATATTCTCCTCTTCTGGTAATTAATTCTGTTATTGTTTTTATTACATTAAAAATCACGTTTGATAGACCTTTGCACACACGGCTTATTAAAACAAATTTGTTACCCCGTTTTTCAGTTTATTTTGAACAGTTCAAAACTCGAAACAATTAAGATTCATTCGAATTAGTTTCATAAAAAGGAATATCACTGAAACAATACCGGAGACACGCTTCATAACAGTGAGACAAAGTGTGTGTGTGTACAGACATTTTATAAAAATATTGGCGTCAATAGGGCAAATATTAATAACTGATAATATTACAATATATACACGCTAACATTATCGAAAACGGAATGCCGTACTGCTAGAAGACTGTTTGAGAGCATTATGGGTTCGAATATCATAATACACCCATAGTCATACCTATGGTTGACTGTGTATTTTGGTGATCTGTCGGTGTAATATCCGCAAGTCTGTCGAAGTAATCTGATAGAATGTCAATTTCTAATGAGATGGTGTCAAAGGTTATGTCGCAATGATATAATGCAAAATATTGTCTATATATTATGAATTTCCGTGAGAGTAAAGTGCAAAAACGGAGGGTAGTTTTACTATAAGGTTTCAGTTGTTTTAATAAAAGAACACATGTAGACTTTGTAAAGTGTGGGCAAAGTGCCCTTTGTAGTAAATAGATCGACATATTTGTCCATTTATTTTAGAAACTCTACTGGTGGTTGACTGTGTATGAAAGTGGAATAGTTAATAATAATGGAATTCTTATTGAGGAATCTGTTTGGATACAAAGTTACGAGGTAAAGCTTTAGTGGAGTCTTAATTCAGCGTTTCTCAAGCAGTTACAGTGTTTACGGGAACTTTTCTTTGAGTATTCGTTAAAGCCCATCCTTCCATTTTGCTTGGAGATAAATATACTGTACAGTCACAATAGGAACAGAATGTATCTACTGCTATAACTTATAGTTTGACCTACAAGAATGACTTTGGAAATTAAGAATTATTAATTAACTTATATAATGTGAATATAGTTGCAATATTTATATAATACTTGTTATATTTTCCTCCAGGTTAAGGTGTGGTTTCAAAACCGACGGATGAAATGGAAGCGGACTAAGAGTGGACAGTTGGCAATGAAACGTCAACAGCAGCAGCAGCAGCAGCTGGAGCAGCAGCAACAACTGGAGCAGCAACAACTGGAGCAGCAGCAACAACTTGAAAAACAGCAACAACAGCAACAACAAGAGAAGAAGAACCCAACCCAGCTAGACCTCCAACAACCTCAGGCGGACGAGATAAAGCCCGCCTTCCAAGTGCCTCAAGAGCAGCAACTGAATAATAACATCAGGGACACCACTAGTAGCAAAAGCAGTCCTGATAGAAACAACAGCAACGTGAGTAGCAGCAAAGCCTCAAGTGACAGTAGCAACACCAATACCAGCAACAGCGACAGCACGTCTCGTGACCCCGTACTGACCCACCATGGCGTGTTGGACGCACCAGCTACTCCACCAACGCTCTCCACCACCGATCTCCAGGGTGCTCACCTTGAGGATCCCTACACGGGTCTTCATCATGCCCTCGCACCTTCCACACCCTCCACATTAGCCTCCAGCCCCTTAGAAGACGGTGGACCCTACTCTGGCCTCCACCACGAACTGGGAGACACGAACACCTACCTGGCGGAGGGCGAGACTTGCTAGTAACGCATGCAACGCTTCGCTTTAACACTACGTTTGTTTCTTTTTCGAAACTCATTGTTATTTTAGTATTCTGAACTAATCTCATATTTATTGATACGATAATAGAATAAGTGACAGTATACTATGAATAGTTTTCATGATTCTCAACGTCTGTATCAGACTTTCCTCAGAGTACCGTCAGCCAACGTGGGTAATAAAGTTTTTAACTCTTTTCACAATAGAGTGAATATTAGCCAAAGACGTCTTGGAACTATTCCACAAATGATTGAATAATTTCCTACCATAATTAACTTTAAAATGGTGAGAGTTTTGTCTGCAGTGTCTTCATATATTCAGCAAATCCCTGTCGTAATTTACAGTACCTTGATATATCAGTCTCGGGTATATTGTACAAAAATTACTGTTACAGAAATTTTCATTTATCCTTTAATATAGACCCGGCAGTAATGTTATAGTCAACACCCCAAGTTTTTCCGTAACATTAAAGATATTTTTTGATCACTTGTTGCATAGTGTTCCTCTGTTTGATAGTCTAGCAAGTCAGTAGTTTCCTAACCCGAAAGTGTACCAAAAACCTTTACCCTTGATTTTAAAGTGCTCACGTTACGACACAATACACAGCACAGTACATCCAACACACTGTACAGTAATTTATGATCCGTGACGTAATCAATAAATATCCTGACAGACGAATCTTCAAAATTAATATAAAAATTTTTTTTCGATAAATTTATACAAAAATTTATCACTTAATACATCCCAAGAATAAATTAATATTGCTAGCGTTAAGCAACACGGTGGTGTGAGGAGTCTAATATTGTATTCAACTTAATTTATGGTAAATATTCTGTAGAGCTTCCTACAGTACGTTGTAGTATACATGAACTGTATCAAGAGTACTAATGGCAAGCTGTTCAAGTTGTTTATATAGATTATCAAAGATACTTTCTCAAACACAACCCAATAAATAAAGACAAACTATTGAAGTAAAATTCTTAACTAAAATCCACTATAGATTTGTTTTTCTATGTCCAAGAGAACACACACAGTATCTACTCTTAAGTAAAACCCTACAGTAAAAGAATAGATTATTTAGTTGAATTTTACACTACACAAAATATTTTATGCTTGAATATTGCGTAATAAAATTGAGTGTGCAGATACCGTCGTGTTTGACTATCCTCTTTGGCATAACTTCAGACTGAAGGGACTGGGGTATGTTGCTCCTGACAACACACACACACACACACACACACACACACGTTATGAAATGACAGGAGAGTTGAGGAGGTATTAGTGAGATAGTGACTGAGACAATTACAAAATAATTTGAGATTTATTAATTGAAACTGAGAGAAATACATATATTAAGCCCCTCCTCATAATACAGTATACGGAGGAGAGTTAAGTTCTACCAGTCTGTCTGTCTGTCAATAGATCATTAGTCTCCATGGTACAGACATATGAATTCCTGAAAGGTTCCACTAGAGTAAGGAGATGAGGTTGCAGACGTAAATGGTGAAGTAGAAGAAGCGACTGAAGCCTTTTAAGCACATTGAGTAAAGAGTAAGAACTGAGGTAATGGAAACTACTGCAGAGGAACATAAAACAGCGGTAGCGATAGATTTTCCACTATTCGACAACAACGGAAGAGTTAACCAAAGCACCGAGGGGTCTAGAGAGGTAAGGAAGAAACACAGAAGAGGTGTATGTGTCTTCCATACACCCACACCCACCCACACCGCTACTCAACGCCAGAAGATTATGTTCACCTGTGAGATATATTTACCTGTCAGTTGATATTGCCTCATTGATCAGGAGGGGAGCACCTATCCTTGGAGGAGAGAGGTGCCTTAAAACCTACCCAGATGGACAGCTAGGCGGCCACCCTGAGCGCGGGCGCACACACACACACACACACACACACACGATGTTATTTTTAGTGTTGATATTTAACCTACAAAACCTTTCTATCTAAATTAACATCCATAGGGCACCATATAGTAAACACTTCATCATACTGAGAATCTTATACCACCTCGAGGCTTACTGTGAGTCCAGCCATAACAATGCACACGCGGAATTTGTGTGAGTAGGGACAGCTTGTGCTCCTACCGACAGATACTTGACGGTGCGGGGATGTGGGTGGTGGTAGAAATGTAGGTGGTGGCGGAGGTGTGGGTGGCGTAGGTGTGGGTGGGGTGTGAGGGACGTTGGGAGTGTTAGCGGTGGTGGTGGTATATGTGTGTGTGTGTGTGTGTGTGGTAGGCGGGCAGTGGAGGTGTAGGTGACAGCGGAAGTGTAGGTGGCTGTTGCAAGATTGTCATAACCTGGATGGTGATGATGGTTATCGTTGTCATGGCTTCGATTGGCTTTGATCCTCACTACAACATGACAAATATCGAACACCCCCCTCCTCCTCCTCCTCCTCAAGCCGTGGTTATCATGACGTGGTTGGTAGTAGTGGTGGTGTCCCTGCCTCCGTGTAGTGTTGGTGGTGGTTTCGTGGTTTATAGTTTAGGTGGGTGACCATACTTGTGGGCGCGTGGTTCACATTGTGTATAAACTAGTTCGTGTTTTTTCTCGGCGTACATGACGTGGTTTTACCGTATTAAATCCTCAATGACCAAGTTGAATCTGATTACTAAAGACGAGACAGAAGGTAAAGAGTTGCACGATAAACTGGAAAGAGGCAATAGAGATTATAGGAAGGGGTAGTGGACGGGGTTATAAGGAAGGCAGTAGGGGTTATAGGAAGGGGTAGTAGACGGGGTTATAGGTAGGGTTAGTGGACGGGGTTATAGGTAGGGGTAGTGGACGGGGTTATAGGTAGGTAGAGGGGTTATAGGAAGGGTTATAAGAAAAGTGGAGGGAGTAGTAGGACGGGGTTATAGGTAGGGGTGGTAGAGGGGTTATAGGAAGGGGTAGTGGACGGGGTTATAGGTAGGGGTGGGGGTTATAGGAAGGGGTAGTAGGGGTTATAGGTAGGGGTGGTAGAGGGGTTATAGGAAGGGTAGTGGTCTGGGTTATAGGAAGGGGTAGTGGACGGGGTTATTGGGTTATAGGTAGGGGTAGTGGGTTATAGGAAGAGGTAGTAGACGGGGTTATAGGAAGGGGTAGTGGACGGGGTTATAGGTAGGGGGTAGTGGACGGGGTTATAGGAAGGGGTAGTGGACGGGGTTATAGGTAGGGGTAGTGGACGGGGTTATACGTAAGGGGTAATAGAGGGGTAGGAAGGGTGGACGGGGTTATAGGTAGGGGTAGAGGTTATAGGGGTAGTGGAGGGGTAGGGGTAGGGACGGGGTTATAGGTAAGGGGTAGGAGGGGGGTAGGAAGGGGTAGTGGACGGGGTTATAGGAAGGGGTAGTGGACGGGGTTATAGGAAGGGTAGTGGACGGGGTTATAGGAAGGGGACGGGGTTATAGGAAGGGGTAGTGGACGTAGGTAGTGACGGGGTTATAGGAAGTGGAGGTTATAGGTAGGGGTAGTGGGGGTTATAGGTAGGTAGGGGGTAGTGGACGGGGTTATAGGGGGTAGTGGAGGGGGGTAGTGGACGGGGTTAGGTAGGGGTGGTAGGGGAGGGGTGGACGGGGTTATAGGAAGGGGTAGTGGACGGGGTTATAGGAAGGGGTAGGGGGTTATAGGAAGGGTAGTGGACGGGGTTATAGGTAGTAGTGGACGGGTTATACGTGGGGGTAATAGAGGTGGTTATAGGAAGGGGTAGTGGACGGGGTTATAGGAAGGGTAGTGGACGGGGTTATAGGAAGGGGTAGTGGACGGGTTATAGGTAGGGGTAGTGGACGGGGTTATACGGGGGTAATAGAGGGGTTATAGGAAAGGGTAGTGGACGGGGTTATAGGAAGGGGTAGTAGAGGGGTTATAGGAAAGGGTAGTGGACGGGTTATAGGTAGGGGTAGGGGATGGGGTTATAAGAAGGGGTAGAGGGGTTATAGGAAAGGGTAGGGACTGGGTTATAGGAAGGGGTAGTAGAAGGGTTATAGGAAAGGGTAGTGGACTGGGTTATAGGAAAGGGTAGATGAGGGGTTATAGGAAGGGGTAGTAGGACGGGGTTATAGGAAGGGTAGTAGGAAGGGGTAGTGGACGGGGTTATAAGAAGGGGTAGAGGGGTTAGAGGAAGGGGTAGTGGACGGGGTTATAGGGAGGGCAGAGAGGGGGCTATAGGGAGGGGTAGTAGAGGGGTTATAGGAAGGGGTAGTGGACGGGGTTATAGGGAGGGGCAGTAGGGGGCTATAGGGAGGGGTAGTAGAGGGGCTATAGTGAGGGGTAGTAGAGGGTGTTATAGGAAGGGGTAGTAGGACGGGGTTCTAGGAGGGGTAGTGGGCGGGATTATAGGAAGGGGTAGTAGGGCGGGGTTATGGGAAGGGGTAGGGACGGGGTTATAGGGAGGGACAGAGGGGCGCTATAGGGAGGGGTAGTAGAGGGGTTATAGGAAGGGGTGGACGGGGTTATAGGGGCAGTAGAGGGGCTAGGGAGGGGTAGTAGAGGGGTTATAGGAAGGGGTAGTGGACGGGGTTATAGGGAGGGGCAGAAGGGGCAGGGGTAGTAGAGAGGGTTATAGGAAGGGGTAATGGACGGGGTTATAGGGGACAGGGGTAGTAGAGGGGGTTATAGGAAGGGGTAGTAGAGGGGGTTATAGGGAGGGGCAGTAGAGGGGGTTATAGGAAGGGGTAGTAGAGGGGGTTATAGGAAGGGGTAGTAGAGGGGGTTATAGGAAGGGGTAGTAGAGGGGGTTATAGGAAGAGGTAGTAGAGGGGGTTATAGGAAGGGGTAGTAGAGGGGGTTATAGGGAGGGGCAGTAGAGGGGGTTATAGGAAGGGGTAGTAGAGGGGGTTATAGGAAGGGGTAGTAGAGGGGGTTGGGTTTTTCGTGATTTAAAAAAATAAAACCAAACTGAACTGATCTGAGACTTTTTTCCCAACATTTGAGTGTCGAAGTTGAAATTTACAGTCCTTCACCCTGTACCTAACACAAATGTCACTGCCGTCAGCACACACACAAAAAAACAGGAAACACCTTAGGCCTACACTGAAGATGTTAAAGATTTCATATATTTCTTTTCCTTAAACCTAAAACCAAAAGTACTTATTTTTCTTACTTATATGGAGAATAAAGTTAAAAGTAAAGTATAAAATATAGTCGAAAATTTAAGGTACGTATTTTAGTTTACTCTTAGAATGGTTGTGCACGGTAGTGTCGCCTCACCTTCCCGCGCGCTGAGTAACACGGCTCCTGGGAACTCAACCAAGTATTATGACTGTGTTGACAAACTAGTGCGGGGAGACTCCACACCCTATGACCTGACCTGACCTCCAAGAAACCATTCACGAGGATGTTGTGACAAGTGGAACAGCTGGCAGGATCCAAAAATGCCATCTACAACATCTAAATCACTAATTCTAAAGTTATATACTCTAGACAAATTTTTATTGACTCTGTGAATGAAACAAATTGTGGGTTCGGATGTGACATGTGAAGGCGGTATAGAGAGGTGAAGGCGACGGATTCGGCCGGTGTCAGCTTACCGGAAACTGTTTGTTGCCCCCACCAGCCAACCAGTCATCACCTTCCTCACATCTCACCTTCTCGCACTCCCTACCCTTCCTCATCTCTCCCCTTCTATTCACCCTCCTCTCATCCTTGTCTTCCACCTACACTCTTTTTTATCACATTTTATTTGTATTTCCTCGCAATTTTTCCTTAAATGTCCTCCCCTTACATTCTCTATTAAATCATAACAAATCATCCTTTATCTTCAGTCACCACACATCACAACACCTACATAACCTACTCAATCCTAGCATCATACTGTCTCTGTAATTACAATAATTGACATTTTCATAAGAACATAAGAACATAAGAATGGAGGAAACTGCAGCGGGCCTATTGGCCCATACTGGGCAGTCCCGTTTATACCCAACCCCTATTGCTCATATAAGCATCCAACCTATGTTTGAAGCTATTCAGCGTATTCGAGTTAATAATGATATTTGGTAACTTGTTCCACTCATCCACTACTCTGTTTCCAAACCAGTGTATACCAATTTCACGCCGAAATCTAAATTTGTCTAATTTAAAACCATTGTTACGGGCTCCCTCCTGGTTGGATAGTTTGAGTACCTTTGTAATTTCCCCTTTGTTTAAC